CTTAGCCACTGTTTCAATTCAATTACTGCATTACTTGTACTAACATTTACGAATACACGCTTTCTTCATATTCATCGATGCTATTAGATATTCATTTTTTTCAGTCATATAAAATTGTAAGGGAAGAAAAAATATATCAAAAGATCAGAAAATTTAAATTTAACGTGGTAGTTAGATTATTTTACTTCTGTTAGAAATTAAATTTTTAGATCATATCTTTTTGCTACCTGGGATACGTAATAGATATATTTATGTGATTAAGTATCTACCACCTTAAATTGAAAAATATATGTATTATATTTATTTTTCTAATTAATGAAACGAGTATTCTAATTTAATTAGGCTTTTTTTTGAAGTATTTGCTAACTAACCATTTTCAATGAAATTTAAAAATATGTATATCTTTATTTTATTTGAAACGTTTGAAGTCTGGTTGCTTGATGTCATTGTACTATTGTAACTTGCGCAGACTATTTAAAAAAAACCGTGTGGAGACTTTCTGGTGTAGGAGGTGATGGTTGTCCGTCTTGCAAGCAAAGGCAGTGTCATAGCTTACTGAGGTTTTACCGAGACGTGACTATGGCTAGTTGAAAACTTTTCCCAATACCCCGCATGTCGATGTGAAAAACCGACGGCATAGGCAAATTTTTGGGGAACCTCATCGGAGGTTTATTATTTGAAGAGTAATCATATTATGTAAAAGTCTCACTCTACTCTATTATACGGTGTATATATATTATATTCACTTATGGATAATTATATTTTTGATCGAGCGATTGCTTTGCAGTTTCATTTTTTTAACTTAAAACCAGTAGCATATTTGCCAACTTTTTCCGATTTATTTGAATACTTAGAATGGTCGTAAATTGTATGTTGTCATACTTTATTGATCTCTCGGTCTTATTTGAATACGTATCCGTCTATTTCATAAGTATAAAACACGAATTTTGCATTTCCTGCTTTCAGAGATGAAGTTACTGTTTTTTTATTGTCTTACGGAATGAAATAATTCGGCTTGCCATAAGTAGCACGCGAACAAGTTGAAGGCCACTATGTAGTTATGAGTAAAAAGTAGGCGTTACGCTGAATAATATATACATAAACAGCCATAAGAGTAACGCTTACTGTTACTCTCGCCCTTCTCGGAATTAGGATAATCTTCCTAGGTAATATTATTCATTAGGTAAAGAAATTTAATTTTCCTTAAAGCTTTCCAATGATCATTTGGAAAGAATAGTAGATTTCTATTGCCTTCCTTCAAAAAGGAAAATTTTTTAATAACTTTGGCAAACACAGTGGCATCGTAGTAAGACCGTCAATTGTTAAGTACGCGTAATTTCCGTATATAGACAAAACAATCAGATCTAGATTTTCTAATTAATTAAGTTGCGTCTAGTGCTATTCACCAGAAAAAGGACCTACAAGAAGGATGTTATCATTGATAACAACTTCTCTTTCAAATGGGAAACGAAGGCCACGTACTTAGGTGTCGTTACGGATAAAACCCTGACATTCAAATATCATTTTAAAAACATTAAGAGTAAATTAATAGCTGCAAAATGTGCACTTTATCCTATTCTAAAAAAGAACTCTCCCCTCAGCACTAATAACAGGATTCTAATTTTTAAAATGCTGCTCACCCCCCTATTAACATATGCAGCACCCGCCTTCGGGGGGGGGCAGCAAAGACAAATCTTAAACTCTTACAGAGTGCTTATAACAAAACCCTCCGCAATATCACAAATTCACCCTGGTATTTCAGGAATAAAAATATCCGTAATGACACCTGTACGCCTAGCCTTCTTGACTTATACAAAAATAGTTCTCTTAAGTATTTTCTTAAGAGCACTGGACACTTCAACCCACTTATTTGGTCTTCCTTCCTCCAACTACGACCCAGATGACTCTAAGTGCAGGAGACGGCCTAAGGCAATTCTCCATTACTATAATAATCTCCAAGACATCGTTTGAGTCGTATTGCTGATTTTTCTATCCCCCTGACTGGCTCCTCATCTCCTCTATCATCATTACCCTTTTCCACCTTCTTGGGTTGGCCCAATCCTTCGCGGAATTACTGCGGCTCATTTTGATTCAATTTACAAATTCAACTACTAACAATGCTAATCACTAACTGCTTATTTGTCAATAATTTTAAATAAAAAATAAATAATGATTTATAATAAATAATTAAAATTTTTTTTTCATTGTTTATGTTATTACCTGTCTGTGTTATCCCTGTTCTATCTTCTTTTCCACAATATTATTTAACTACTAACATTAAGTTTATTTACTAACCCAAATAATTTTAATATCAATGGCCTTTGATTCAGTTTGTAATCATATAATTTACGGAGGTGGCCTTTTTGGCCAGGTACTCCCGTGCACCAATTATTAGTTTCCGCAGTTTCTTAAACCGTATGCGTACCTGCCTAGTTTTACACTTTTCAAATAGGTGTTTTCCTAGTGGTAGGGTAAAACCAATGAACTTCATATTTATGGTGCTTTTCGAAAAATTTTAGCTAGCAATTACAGAGAAGACACTTACAGAAGATTATATTAGATTAGATAGGGTATTAGAGAAAGCCTATTATATGGGTCTGGTTCATCTCATCGACAGGTATTTTCACCGACAGGCCATTTCGTCAACAGGGTCATTTCACCGACAGTGTCATATCGTTGGCAATGTTATTGCTTCGACAGGGTCATTTAATCGACAGGGTTATTTTGTCGATATGAACATTTCGTTGATAGTGTCACGCGTAATTTTGAAACTATTTTATAGATTTAATCTAAATATTTTTATTATTAATTAGAAAAATACTACTATTTAATTTTTATACTAAAGCAAAATTCTTTATTGCTGCGTATTGTGGATCTTGGTAGTTAGAAAGTGAGTTTCGGTTGCGGTCTTAAACATGAACGTTCAACCTGTAAATTCAGAAATGCAATATGCCATTCGTGTGATCTTAAGGGTCACATTGTAAAAGTTTGTCGGAAAAAAAAATTTGAAAAACAGTATGCAAATGAAATTGAAGTTCAACCCGAATATTTGAATGTTCTAGGTTTTCAATCTCTGTTTAAGAAAAGCGTTATTATTGAGGTTGATAAGGAAAAATTAGAGATGGAAACTGATTCGGGCTCCTATTATTCGATTATTTCTTTGCAATCATTGAATAAAGTTTTCCGTTCTAAGAACCCCGTGATCGAAAAAACTTTAATTAAACTGCGCGACTTTTCTAAAAATGGGATTTCGCTAGCTGGCGTTAGTAAAGTTGAAGTTGTGCATAACCTTTTCAAATCTAAGTTAGAATTGTTAATTTCAAATAATCACTGTACGAATATTTTAGGGTATTCTTGGTTTGAACCTTTAGGTATTTCAATAACAGGAGTAAACGAAATTAGAACGAGAATTATCGAAAAAATTCTTAAAAATGCGATGATATTTTTGATAATAAATTGGGTTCGTATATGGGTAATCCAGTATCGCTTCCTATAAATTCGGATATGGCGCCTGTTAAATGTAAAGCAAGAGGCGTGCCTTTGGCAATGAGGCCCAAAATTGAAGCTGCCCTAGCAAAACTTCAAAGTGAAGGAGTTACTGAAGAAATGTCAAATCCAAAATGGTCAACATCGGTTGTTCCAGTGATTAAACCGTCAGGTGAAGTATGTTTGCGCGGAGATTATAAAATCACTTTAAACAACGCAATGAGCGCACATCCTTATCCAATTCCCTTCTGTAAATCATCTTCTGTCGAATCTTAAGGGAGGAGGTTATTATGCTAAGATAGATTTGGCTCAGACATATTTACAATTACCGGTTGATGATGCTTCCGCTGAAGCTCAGACAATCATCACGCATAAAGGTGCTTATAAGGTAAAAAGGCTTCAATTTGGAATTCACGTAGCCCCAGGAATATTTCAAAATTTTATCGAAGATTTGTTTCGAAATTTAGAAGGGGTTGTTCCTTATTTTGATGATGTACTTGTCAGAGGAAACTTCTAACCCAAAATGGTCACACCGGTTGTTCCAGTGATTAAACCGTCAGGTGAAGTACGTTTGTGCGTATCCTTCGTGTTGTATTCCAAGTAAGAAACATTATAACTTAAAATATATATTTAATAAACAATAAAACATAACAACTACATGCTAGTAGCAAGCAACAAAGATTAGCCGATGAACATCTATTAATAACGTGTTTATATACTCTCTGGAAAGGTAAGGCAGCGCCGCTGTTCAGAAGCTACAGGATGTCGTCGTTGACTCATAGTGATGACGGAAGGTGACGCTGGCTAACATCACAACACCCCTTTGCCCTAGGATAGAACAAAGTCTTTGAACCTGCTTGGCCTAAGGATGGTATGTCTGGGCCTCAAAGTTCTCGAAGTCTGTGATGGAACTGGAATAGAAGACTCTTGTTTTGGTATTGTAGGTTAAACCACTACACTCTGAGAATCCGCACTAGAAGGAATGGAAGATGGTACTTCAGTTGCATAACTCGGTGCTGGTGGAGATGCTACACTAGGATCAGACGGAACAGTCAACGGATCAGGAATACGCCTCCGCATTTGATCCACATGACGTTTAACTATCTCGCCTACTGTTGTCACAGCTTGGTAGGAAACTGGACCAGTGGGTTTAATTACCGTTGCTGAAAACCCCTTTGGACCCTGTCCATAGTTTCTCACAAAGACTGGATCGTCGGCACTGAACGATCTTGGAAGAGAATCGGCATTTTTTATATACGCATCTTGCTCCTGTCTCAACTTCCTCTCGGTCGTCAGATCTGGATGGAGTCTATCTAAGACGGTCCTTAGCTTCCTCCTCATCAACAGTTCCGCAGGACGAGCACTTATTGTTGTGGTAGGAGTGCAATGTTGTTGAAGAAGTAATTTGGCTAAACGCTTCCTCCAATTTCCCCTCACAATACGTCTTAGGGCATCTTTCACGGTCTCAGCTGTTCTTTCAGCCTGACCATTTCCGGACGGACGTCTTGGTGCGATCATAACCCTTCTGACGAGATTCCTCTCTTAGAAAGTCTGGTATTTCGATGCTCGAAACTGCCTCCGTTATCGGAAACGATGACTTCAGGTATCCCATGGGTAGCAATGATTTCTCGCAGGACGTCGACTGTAGCAGAAGCAGACGGAGAAGTCATATGACGTACTTCTATCCACTTTGACATGGCATCTACTAAGATGAGAAATTCTTGTCCCTGGAACGGACCTGCAAAATCCATATGAAGACGGGACCAAGGTTTCTCTGGAATCTCCCAAGGATGCACTGGAGCTTTAGGAGGGGCATGACGCGTCTGTTGACATTCCTGACATCTTTGAACATGCACTTCTATGTCATAGTCCATGCCTGGGCACCACACTTATGAACGTGCGAGAGATTTCATCCCTGGATGCCCCAGATGTAGAGCCTGGAGAACACGTGATTTTCCAAACACTGCAATAGTTACTCTATTTCCCCATAATAAGCAATATCGATGGGTAGAAAGTTCGTTACGTTTCGAGAAAAAAGTCTGAAATTTTTTATCCGGTTTTTCATTTGGCCATCCTCTCAAAACCCAATTTAGTACTCATGACAAAATTGGATCACGCAATGTTAATTTTGCAATCTCTGCTGCCTGAAGTAGAGGATCTTGTAAATCCTGGGTAAACAACTCCTCTAAAGGAGCAGGAACCTCACATTTATCAGTCTCTTTTGGGAGTCTACTTAAAGAATCTGCATTTTGAATTTTTTCCTGGTCTATGAATTAGAGTATAATCATATACATTAAGTATTAGAGACCATCTCAGCATACGCGGAGACAAAATTTCTTTAGTAGGCTCATTTTTTGAAGAAATTTCTAGCAGAGGCTGATGATCAGTTATGATAGTGAACTTATGTCCATAAACAAAATGATGAAATTTTTTTATACATAAAACAATTGCCAACGCATCTTTCTCGATTTGCGCATAGTTTCTTTCTGTCGACGTGAGCGTACGTGATTCGAAAGCTATTGGTGCTTCACAACCATGGACAAGAACATGACTTAAGACAGCTCCTACGCCAAACGGAGATGCATCGCAAACTATCGGTAATTGTTCATCGAACGGAACCAAAACCGCTTTGGAGCTTAACAATTCTTTTAAATATCTAAAAGCTTCATCCTGGACTTCAGACCATTTCCACACGGAATCCCTATCTAGAAGCCTGTGTAAAACTTCAGCTTTAGTAGCTTTGCGCTTTAGAAAACTATTATAAAAGTTTATTAAACCCAGAAACGCCTTTAACTGGACCTTATTTTTAGGTACCGGAAAAGCATAAATCGCTTCTACTTTACTTGGGAGGGGTGGAGGCCCTTCGCATCGATACGGTAGCCCAAAAAATCTACTTGCGGTACCCCAAATAGGCATTTGTTTCCATTTGCCTTAAGTCCCGCTTTTCTCAAACGATCTAGTACTTGTTCCAAGTGAGCGACTAACTCTTCTTCCGAGCTTCCTCTGACAAGTACATCATCAAAATAAGGAACAACCCCTTCTAAATTTCGAAACAAATCTTCGATTAAATTTTGAAATATTCCTGGGGCTACGTTAATTCCGAATTGAAGCCTTTTTACCTTATACGCACCTTTATGCGTGATGATTGTCTGAGCTTCAGCGGAAGCATCATCAACCGGTAATTGTAAATACATACCTGCCAACTTTTATTTCTTTGTAGGATGATTTTCCCCAGTGGTAGTAATATGGAATTTAATTTACAATTTCAGGCCGAAACATTCGCTGTATTTTGAACGAACTTGTGCGGACTGCCAAACCAGTATTACTTATTCTTTTTATGATTAATTTTTTAAAAAATAGTGGTGGATCAAAAAGATTATAAATTAAGTTTATAAATGCAAGGAATATATAGAAACCATACATTTTACTATCACTTTAAATATAGAAATAAAATTTTTCGCCAAATGCGTAAAAGTTGGCAGGTATGTAAATATACCTGAGCCAAATCTATCTTAGCATAATAACCTCCTCCCTTAAGATTCGACAGAAGATGATTTACAGCGGGAATTGGATAAGGATGTGCGCTCATTGCGTTGTTTAACGTGATTTTATAATCTCCGCACAAACGTACTTCACCTGACTGTTTAATCACTGGAACAACCGGTGTTGACCATTTTGTATTTGAAATTTCTTCAATAACTCCTTCACTTTGGAGTTGTGCTGGGGAAGCTTCAATATTGGGCCTCATTGCTAAAGGCACGTTTCTTGCTTTACATCTAACAGGCGCCATACTCAAATTTAGAGGAAGCTATCCTGGATTACCCGTATACGAACCCAATTTGTAATCAAAAATATCATCGTAATTTTTAAGAACTTTTTCGATAATTCCCGTTCTAATTTCGTTTACTCCTGTTATTGAAATACCTAAAGGCTCAAACCAAGAGTACCCCAAAATATTCGTACAGTGATTATTTGAAATTAACAATTCTAACTTAGATTTGAAAAGGTTACGCACTACTTCAACTTTATATACGCCAGCTAGTGAAATCCCATTTTTAGAAAAGTCGCGCAGTTTAATTAAAGTTTTTCGATCACGGGTATCTTAGAGCGGAAAACTTTATTCAACGTTTGCAAAGAAATAATCGAATAATAGGAACATGAATCAATTTCTATTTCTAATTTTTCCTTATCAACCTCAACGATAACGTTTTTCTTAAACGGAGATTGAGAACTTAAAAGATTCAAATATTCGGGTTGAACTTCAATTTCATTTGCACACAGTTTTTCAAACTTATTTTTTCCCCGACGAACTTTTACAATGTGACCTTTAAGACCACACGAATGGCATATTGAATTTTTGATTTACACGTTAAACGTTCATGTTTACCACCGCAACCGAAACACACTTCACTTTAGAATTTTGAATTTGCGATTTGCTACTACCTGAAGCATTAGAATTTTGTTTACTAAATCGCGAATTATTTCCTTTGTTCCCACCACGTATTAAATCAATCTCATCCGAATTCGCAGAATAAGAAGAATTTTGCTTATGAATATGCTTTGATTGAGAGTGGCAACCTCAGATGCTACGGCAATAAAAATTGCATTTTCAAGTGTTAATTTGGATTCAGCCAACAATCTTCTTTGAACCTCTTCATCACGAATACCGCAGACTAATTGATCTCGTAATCGTTCTGACAAAGTTTCCCACAATCTTCGGCAAGCTTTCTGAATCTGCAATGTAAGCATTCACAGATTCTAACTTTGATTGAAATCTTTTATGAAACTTGAAACGTCGAATTATTTCTGAAGATTAAGGACAAAAATGTTCGTTTAGAAGTCTAATTAAATCTTGAAATTTAAATTCTGTAACTTCCTTTGGCGAAACTAAAGTTCGAATTATAGACAGTTTTAATTCCATAAACAGCTAAAAGAGTCACACGCCTTTTATTATCATCTACAATAGAACTAGCCTCCAAAAAGTAAGTAATTTGATCCGCATATAACTCGAATGAATTTGGATTTGAAGTGTCAAATTCCTGAATAGAGCCTACCGTCGCCATCTTAGTGCAAAATTTAACTGAAGCCAGACGAAAATATCGCAAATAGAAAAAGCGTATTTAAACATTTAAAACACCTACTGGAAGCATAAAATAATACCGGTATTGGATCACATCAACAACTCATGGACAGCAGTCTTCAAGAAATTGCATCTTCACAGAAATCCAATTAAAGTTGAACTTTTTCATGCCGTGCAGTAAGATTCCATTTTCAGTGGAGTAAGATCAGTGGAATAAATCACATTCTCGTCGCCACGTGTTGAATTGTACGTATCCTTGGTGTTGTATTCCAAGTAAGAAACATTATAACTTAAAATACATATTTAATTAACAATAAAACATAACTACATGCTAGCAGCAAGTATCAAAGATTTGCCGATGAACATCTATTAATAACGTGTTTATATACTCTCTGGAAAGGTAAGGCAGCGCCGCTGTTCAGAAACTACGGGCTGTCGTCGTTGACTCGTAGTGATGACAGAAGATGACGTCGACTGACATCACAACAGTAGAGATGATGTATTTTTTTTGACCAGCATGCCTGGTGCCAGTTAATTGTCGGTTTATTATTTCCAGATGACCAGTATTGTGCATTTGTCCCAACTATTATCTCAAACTGTAGAATTACGTTGTGTTTCTAAATATTTATTCTTTGGCTATTGACTTACTTCACATGTAAATTTAATTAACAGTATTTTTTAAAAATTATTTTAGTTTAATTATAGGGTAAAGCAGTGTTTCCCAAAGTGTGGTACGCGTGACCCCAGGGGTACGGGAATAGTTTAGCTGGGGTATGCGTTCTTATGCGAAATATCTTGCAACAAGAGAAAATGTCAAACAATTTTACTTAAAAACAAAGCTAGTCAGGAAAATTTACGATTAAGTATTTTTCTATTGGCTATTTTTTGAAGAGTTAACATTTAAAAATTAGTGGTCGTGTCAACAACCAGTTGTGATTTTCATCTTTTGTGCAGTTTTTTTAAAGTAAAAAATACATTCCTTTTTTTATTACTGGTACACATCGTTACGAAAAATTTAGAAGGGGTACACAAAAGTCATAAGTTTGGGAAACACTGGGGTAAGGTAACGATTCCTAAACGGGACAGACGGTGCTTTCCACCAGAAAAAAGAATATCATATTCTGACTGCACTTTACGCTGGCGATACAGCCATTGCCACTCAAAGCAAGTATATCAGCGATATTAACAGGAATATTATTTATCATCTCCTCATTATCATTGACTACTTCCAAAATTGGAAACTTGCCCTCAATATCGAAAAAACTTAGACTGTGCTATTCACAAGAAAAAGGAGCTACAAGATGGATGTTATCATTGACAACGATATCTCTTTCAGATGGTGCTAGGTATCATTATGGATAAAGCCCTTCTTTTCAAGTGTCATTTTAAGAACATCAAAAACAAATTTATTGCCTGAAAATGTGCATTCTATCTCACACTAAAAAAGAACTCTCCACTTGGTATCAATAACAGAATACTTATTTAAAAGATGCTACTCACCCCCTAATTACTTATGCAGCACCAGCCTACGAGGGGGGGGGGCTGCAAAGCCCTACCTTAAACTCTTACAAGGAGCCTATCACTAAATACTCCGTAACATTACTAATTCACTCTGGTATTACAGGAAGAAAAATATCCGTAATGATACTTGTACTCCTAGCTTTCTAAGCATCTTCAAAAACAGATCACTTAACACGTTGAGCGTCGCGTCAGCCATCGGTGGCTGACACTGGACTTTCCATTTAGGCCGCGTCAACCACCGGTGGCTGACACTGAAATTACATTTAGGCTGCGTCTGCCACTGCTTGCTGACACTGACCTTTTACATAGGCCGCGAAAAACAGCTGGCTGACAGCGTATAACATATACAAAAATTTACACTCTTTTATGGAATTGCAGAAAATTTACTTAATTATTGTGATTCTTGGTTTAATAAATTCAATTTAGTAGATTTTAATCCACCACTATTTTTAAACAATTTGTAGGCATATATAATTCACTAATTTTTCTAGATATGTCATGCTAAATGTTTTGAAAACTAGCAAAATCATTCTATATTTGCAAATTTAGTTCGTACTTATTTACCTTGTGGCCAGACGAGCAAGTCATGTAAAATTAGCGTGGCATTCAACGTGTTACTTATTTCCGCAAGAGCACTGATCACTCTCAGTTAATTGTCAGAAGTTACTCTTAGGGTAGTTCGCCGTAAGTCGAGAATTTTTAAAGGGAATTGAAAAATATTTTGCTCATTATTATAAAATTTGCTTATCGGAAAATAATCCCACGCCAAAAAAAAGATCTAATAATATTCATTATTTTATTTTAATTTAATCAAAATTTTAATATACTACATTTTTAAAAATTTATAACTCAGAAACTATTCGACAGATTGCTCTCAGATTTCCTATTTTACTATTTAAACGTACGTTCTTTAAAAATTTGTAAGAATTTGCACGCGATTATAAGTTTTTAGACTGTTAAATAACAAAATTTAAATAAATGAATAATTATTAACAAATATTTTTTGTGTTAAATTATTTTTGGACATCATAATTTTTTAAATGAGGGCAAAGATGAAAAATAAATTCGATTGGATTAAATGAGTTCCTGAGATATGGCGAAATATGCAAAAGCGAATTACAAATAAATAAAAAATAAATTAAAAACGTATAACTTTTGAAATAGCAGTCGATGACTAGAATTTTTTTTATTTATTATTATTTCACGTGATTTCTTTTACAATGCATTTTGGTTAATCTCACATGATTCTGTTAGCATATTGTTCTTATTTTCATGCATGCCATAATATATCAAATGATAGCAAGGATGCTGGACTTTGAAAAAATTTGAATGTACTAGAAGTATCTAAGTTTAAGTTATAATGTATAATTTGTTGTTTTGTAAATTTGATTTAAAGTTATTTCCTACACCACTAAATGTAAACGATTAAAATCTTCATGAGAAACACCACTTTATTGCTACTCTCTTACGGTGAGACTTTAAAAAATATTGCAAAAATTCTGAGAGCTTCAGTTTTTAAATGCCTACAGTCTTGTGTTACATATTTTGCAAATGTGTTGCAATTGGCAACTCTGCGTCAGCGAATTATCGTATTCAGAATGCTTTAATGTAAGCGTAAAGCGTATTTTATATGGTATCTGCCTTGCGAAACTTGTTACTTTATTGGATAATGGTATCCGGTGGCGAGTTTCCCGAGTTTTACATAATTGTTTAAATTTTTTATTTATAGTGGTGATTAAAATCAGTGTGAATCGAATTTAAGAAATTAATAATAAAAATCTAAAGTATAATTTGTCCTACTACTTCCTGTTGCTGAAAAAATTTCATCGCTAAAAGTTTTAAAAAATGACTAGTGTTATCATCATCGTTAGCATAAAAGCCGGGGGTGGGCCTTGGCCTACTCCAAAATATTTCTCCATGCATTTTTGTACGTCACCAGATCTTGTTGCCAGTTCAATACCCTAATGGTTTTGAAATTTGAATAAATGGAGACCAGCTGAGGAAGTTTTGGACGTCCTCTAGCGTCCAATTGGTTTATGTATGAAACTGTTATGCGTTGGGTTAATTGCTTATAAACGCGAATATGTTCGGCAAATATCATTGCGTTTAATTAACTTTATAAATTTTATTATTGGCAAGTTTGTATTTAGATTAAAAAATCTTAACATATGTAATATGAATATTTACACATGGTTTCTATGATATTTTCTTCTTGGGAGAAATAAAACATAGTGAAATAAATCTACAAAATTTGACACCATTTCATAACACTGGATTAAAATATTTTTTTCGGACTTAAAACCTTTCATATTTTTGTAATGTTGCAATCCTCAATAATTTTTACTCTAAAGCTAATAACAAACCTCCACAAGCTTAAAAAAAATGACAGAAGTCTGCTGTAAAATGTGAGCTTGATAAAAAGTATTCTATTCCCATTTCTTTTGTTCTGTCATGTGTCATTAATTGGCAGGTGGAACTCATAGAAACAATTTTCATTATATTATATCTTAAGAAGAATATACAATTCTTCTTTGAGATTCCTCTTTAGAAACAGCTGCAACTCAACTTCTGCAACTATTGTGAGCATGTATATATAAATTCAAAGGAATTTTTTTCTACTTTTTAGATCGTCTTTAAGCGTAGTCTTAACAAAATGTTTTTACATAGGAGACAATCTACCATGCATGTTAACGAATTTCTCTCAGCCGTAGCAACAGCTAATATTACTAATCAATCAGAAATAAATTCACGTCTGAAACGAGATTTGAACGAAATAGCAGAAAGAAAACAGCAATGCCAAATTTTAGAATACGCTTCCATAGCTACAGAATTAGTTGGAAATCTAGCTTCAGATGTCAGCGACATACCAGTAGTCGGAGAAGTTGCAGGTGTTTACACCGCGGGAATATCCATGGTGAGCCACGTTGCCAAAGCTGGCATGGACATTGCATCGCAAGCATTAGACTGCGATGACGTAAATTTCGACGAAATCAAAGAAATCATGGATGAAAGATTTAATGAAGTTGACAGAAAATTGGACAAAAGCATGGAAGCGCTAGAAGAAGTTTCCAGATTGGTGAGTAAAACCATGTTGATTGTTGATCAAACTAGAGTCATGATGAGGGAGGGATTTGATAAAATATTGGATGCAATAGAAAATAAGGAACTAAAAGACAGTATCAATAAAATCAAAAATTTCGTAAAGTATTTTGAGAATGAAAAGAGAGCAATGCGTAGTCTTCCTGAAGATCAATACATTTTTAAACTGCAAGAACCAAACAGTGTACTCACATATTTAAGAAACACTAGGCTTCCAAATGAAGACAGCCTGCATTCTGCTTTACATAAAATCATCGATAGTGACTATGCTATTCCCAAAAATGCTAATGACTCTAAAGCATTCTCAGCATTGCATGCTTTATTTCACGGTGCACAGACATATGTATCGATTATGTTTTTCTTATTGAAAGAGCATTCTTATTTAGCTGATTACAATTATCAAAAGGGTGATATGGAAGAATTTAATAAGCAGTTTGATACTTTGAAATCCATATTTGAAGATTTCCAAACTTCACTAACTGGTGGAACTTCTAATAATTCTTTTCTGGATAAAGCTATCGAAACATTAAACAAGGCTAAAGACAAAGCCTTTGTTAAAGATCTGGAAAGTAAATTATATCAAGAATTATCACATAGAGAGGGAAATTTACGTAAACTTAAAAGAGAAATTAAAAGCATAAAGCTACCTATCATCAGCGACGTGCCGAAAACTGCTGCTCAAATATCGTTTGAAGATTCCGCACTTTCTACACCTCACGGGGATTGGGAAGACAGAGCCAAAGTAAGGTACGCTGTGCAACTGGAAAAGAATGGTCTTTTTTCAAAATTAAGTGAATGGACGGAGCCAGTATTTGTGCAAGGTAAAGCAAATCCCACGCTTAAATTTCCAATTGATCTTAAAAGAAGAAAGAGACTTGTCTTCAGAAAGTTTAATGACAATAAACCTCAGCTAGTAGGAGTCTTGAGTAAATTACAGATACTATTCAAGGATATAAATAGAGATCTTTACAACGCAGCTGGAAGGGTTGATAAGAAATTAGCATTAAAAGAAATAAACTTACTGATAGAAAACGGTGCTGATATCAACGCGGTGTTTGATTCGGATAGAAGTGTAATGCATGCTGCAGCGAAAAGTGGTAATGATAAAGCAGCTTTGAGGATTTTGTCGAATAATAGTTCAATAAACTTAAATGTAAAGGACAAAAAGGGTTTTACCCCGATGCATTTAGCTGCTGATGCAGGTCAAAAGGAGTTTATACAAATGCTCGTACAACATGGAGGTGATATTAATGCAAAAACTAAAACAGATCACTTGACACCATTACACATAGCAACACGAAATGGGTTTGATAAAACTGTTTTGATATTAATGGCAAATGAAAATCTACAGATCAACGCTAAAGATAAGTCAGGTTTTACTCCCTTGCACTATGTAATCCAAGGTGGTGCTAAAGTTCTAGAAGCTCTGTTGTCAAGCAAGGAAACTGATGTTAATACAAAATCTGAGAGTGGCCTGACTCCTTTTCATTTGGCTATTATGAACAGTGATCAAGAAGTTGCTGAAGTTCTGGAAGATAGTCAAGCTCTGGATGTAAATGCTGGAGATAACAACGGTTTGACTGCCCTTCACTTTGCTTGTATGGCTGAAAATACGAAAATGATTGAGTTCCTTATGTCTAGAAAGGGAATTGACGTCAATGCTGTGACACAGGATAAAAAATGGTCTCCCTTGCACTTATCTATATATTTTAGAAAAGAGACTTCTGCTTCAGAAATAATGAAAGATGCAAGGACAGATGTCAACATTTTTGCGAGTGAAAACATCACGCCATTACATATATCAGTTGCAACCGGACAGTTGAACATTATCACTGGACTACTTGATCGGAGAGCAAACATTGAAGCTAAGACTATTGAAGGTTTTACCCCTCTACATCTTGCAGCCCTCAGACCTGAACCTACTATCTCCTCTTTGTTGCTTAGAAATGGTGCTAATATAAATTCGAAATCAAACGATGGATCAACACCTTTGCATCTTGCCACAAAAGCAGAGAGAATCGAAACACTGACTAATTTATTAAACAAAGGAGCTGATTCCAGATCAGTGGATCACAACAATCTGCTACCGATACAAATAGCGATACAGAATTACAATACAGATATCATTAGGAAGTTTATGAATCATGATCGTATTATTGTTAACCCAAAAACTGAAGAATTCTTAATTCATAACAATAAAATTCTTTCATTCACATTTAGCACTCTTGTTAGATACTTGTACCACTATTACTTGAATAAGGATTCTCCAGAATATCAGGAATTTAGGGACATGACTCCCTATCAAATATTTGAGAAGCAAGGAAAAATAGAAATGTTAAAAGTTCTTATGGAGGGCTCAGAAGAAGTAAAGATACTTCCTATCATTGTTAATGGTATTGATAACATAGCGAAACACTGCGTAACTAAAACCACCAATCAAGATGATTCAAAAGATACAGTAGATCCGTGCGTTTCATCAAGACATGTCAGACGTCACATTCTATCAGATTTAAAAAATAGTGTTAAAAAATTATTAAAATCGAGTGTTTATAATTCTGTGTTATCTGATGCAAGCTTCAATCGGATGAATGGAGCCCATCAAAATAAATTAGAATATCGAAATAAGAATGTACGAATCATCCAATCTCCTGATAGCGTGAAAACCTCATATCAGATGAAAAACATTACTCAAACTCTCTCTGAATATCGAAATAATAATAAACAAGCCGTCCAATCCACTGATAGCAGAAAGGCTTTCACTTGGATGAAAAGCATTACTCAAAATCACTCAGAATATCTAAATAATAAACGAAACATTCAACCCACAGATAATGTGAAAACCTTCAATCTGATGAAAAACATTACTCAAAATCTCTCAGAATATCGAAATAATAATATACAAGCTTTTCAATCTACTGAGAAGACTTTCAACTTCTTCAAAGTTAATTCAACTGCTAACTTGGATACTAATGGTATCTTACTTCTGTTAGATACTTTTATTCGAAAGCTAACAGCGAAAAAGCATGACTTTATGTACTACAAAACCGTTTCTGATTTGGAAATACAAGCTAAGGCTCTTAACATCACCGAAGATCTGGAGCAATTCGTGAATGCGTTGGGTGTTATTAAAGCGAATGTGCAAATTGATTTTTTTGAAATTTATTCAATGATTTACAAATCTCTTCATTCTGGTAATGTGGCTAAATTTACAGAAAAACTATGTTCGTTATTAAAAGATATTTTACAGCCATTTCAAATTGAAATATTCTTATCAAAACTGTTTGAAAATGTAACACTAGATTAATGCTTCATATGACGAAATCGCTTTGTATTCCTGCAAAATCATTAAACTTACAATTCTTATTGAATTATTTAATATTAGTAACTCTATTAATAACACCAAAATTACATTACACAAAACTTACATCACTTTAAAAGTAATCCAATAGTTTAACAATTTTGTAACGCCTTCGATTCTTATTTAATTCTGATGTGCTAAGACTTATGAACTGAATTCGTATACAGGGAACCTGTCCGTGAAGCGGACACTTCACATTTTCATCTGTAGTTGTGCCCGCGGGCACCTGGAGTGATGGCGTTGTATACTAAGACTCATTTGAACTTGAACTGAGTTCTATTTCAGTGCACCTGTCCGCGAAGCGGACACTTCACATTTTTATCGGTGATTATGCCCGTCGGCACCTGGAATAATGGCGTTGTAAGTGGATAATGGCGGTGAATTGCAGAGGCGATGGTCAGTTTAAATCTGCATTTAATCTATACGCATATTTAATAAATTATTAACATGTTTACATAACATTAACGGATGGTTAAAGTTGGTGTAAGGCCCTGCTACAACAGTGACCCGGTCGTCCAAGCAGGGCTGGCGTATGTCAGTATCGGTCTAATGCATTGTAAATACAGTAGCCTCTTTAGGTTAAGTGGAAGTGCTGAGTTAGAGTTCAGTAGTGGTCTAATGCAGCTATAGGCAGCATAGACTTTATTTACTGTTTTATCTATATGGAGGTTCCAAGTGAGTTTATCATTTATGCACAGGCCTAGGTAATTAGCCTTATTTGTAATTGGTTATTGAATAGAGTGACATTGCTATTAATGTTTTTAAATCTCTTTTTTCTTCTGATGACCATTAGATTGGATTTATCGGTGTTTATAGCTACTTTATTTTCAATGCACTAATTTTCTATAGGTGGCGTAAGTTTATTGAGATTAACGACAGACTGGTTTGGGTTCATAGAACGCATGGCTATTGTCGTGTCGTCCACATAGAATGCAATTAGGTAGTTATTATTCTTGGGGTTTACTGGAAAATTACTACATACCTGCCAACTTTTAATCCCTTCCATTATGATTTTTCCCAGTGGTATTAAAATGGAATAAAAATTTCAATTTTAAGCAAAAAAATACGTTGTATCAGTAAAAGCTTAAGCTGCCTGTCATGATAGTAACTCATATTAATATGTCTGCTTAATTTTTTTAAGAATAGTGGTGCAGAAAATCATTTAAAAATTTCGTTTTATAAAAGAAAAAAATAGTNGCTATGGGTTGCCCGGATCGGACCCTTTTCAGGGTTACTCCTTCACCGGGTTTGCCATAGTCCAGTGTATATGCTGTGTGTGTTTCTGAGTTTATTGATAATATTTAGATATGATCATGTCTGAGAGAAAAAATGAAGTAATCGGGTTGTAGTATTTCATATCGGGAATTAGAATTTTGTTTAGAATTTTATTGAAATCAGCAGCATCTGAGTTATTTGCATTTTTATAGAGAGTCGCATTTAGTTTATTTATATGTTCACTAATGCTATCTATTTTTAAGTCATTCCTGATAGAGGAGTTTGGGAGGTAGAAAGGTGCTCCAGTGATACGCCGGGGAGTTTTATTTTGTACTATATCCAGTTTTTTAATTTGGTTTGGCATTGCGCAGCCCCAAGCAGGGCTGGCGTATATCAGTATCGGTCTAATGCATTGTAAATACAGTAGCCTCTTTAGGTTAAGTGGAAGTGCTGAGTTAGAGTTCAGTAGTGGTCTAATGCAGCTATAGGCAGCATTTATGCATAGGCCTAGGTAATTAGCCTTATTTGTAATTGGTTATTGAATAGAGTGACATTGCTATTAATGTTTTTAAATCTCCTTTTTCTTCTGATGACCATTAGATTGGATTTATCGGTGTTTATAGCAACTTTATTTTCTATACACTAATTTTCTATAGGTGGCATAAGTTTATTGAGATTAACGACAGACTGGTTTGGGTTCATAGAACGCATGGCTATTGCCGTGTCGTCCGCATAGAATGCAATTAGGTAGTTATTATTATTGGTGTTTACTGGAAAATCACTAGTATATCCCTTCCATTATGATTTTTCCCAGTGGTATTAAAAAGCTTAAGCTGCCTATTATGATAGTAATACATATTAATATATATGCTTAATTTTTTTAAGAATAGTGGTGAAGAAAATCATTTAAAAATTTAGTTTTATAGAAGAAAAAAATAGTACATATTTACAACCACTTTAAATATAAAAATAAAATTTTACGCCAATGCGTTAAAGTTTACAGGTATGTATATATTAGATGCAAAACTGGACCTAGTATACTGCCTTGCGGAACACCTGCCTTGATCTGTCTGACTAAGACCCAAGTATTGCCCAAGTTTATTAAATCTCACAGACTTTAAAAAAGAAGTGGTAAAATTATTCATTATCAAATGTTCCATCTTCTATCATAGTATTTCGGAGAAGCAAGGAAAGTACCAAAAAAGTAATTTGTCACCGAATTTATTTATTTTTACACAAATACGCGTTTAAGACAGCAGAGATAGCCTGAAATGCGAATTTTTAAAAAAAGGAATATAGCCCTAAGGGCGTTTTTAAGAGAATGGGCTTAGTTCCAAATTCGTGTTTGAAAAAATGGGCATCACTACAAATGCGAGTTTAAGAGAATGGGTATGGCTTCAAATTCGTGTTAGAGAAAAAGAGCATCACTGCTAATGCGTGTGTTTAACCATCACCTCCTACATCAAGAAGCCTCCACACGGTCTTTTATAAGTAATCCGCTCAGACTGTTTAAAGAGTGAACCAGTTGCGCGCATGAACCCAAAACCTTTTGTAAAAGTGGAAACTGCGGAAACTAATAATTGGTGCACCGGAGTACCTGGCCAAAAAGGCCACNATGGGCATAGTTCCAAATTCGTGTTTGAAAAAATGGGCATCACTACAATTGCGAGTTTAAGAGAATGGGTATGGCTCCAAATTCGTGTTAGAGAAAAAGGGCATCACTACTAATGCGTGTGTTTAACCCTTTCGCGTCGACTCTCACAAATACGTGCCAGCATAAAACCGTATCAACCAGGGTAAAAAGATAAAACTGGTAATCATAGTAATTCTTTCGCAGTTTTTTTGTGGGCGGAGTTATAATTGTTTGATTTATTCAATTCACCATTACTTTGTTCAAAATAAAACTATTTAATTAGACTTTCAATTAACATTGATTATATATATGATTAAACTAACAATAATTAAAGTAACAACAAAATAAGTCTGTCAAATTAGCAACGACTACATTTAAGTTCCCGTTTTTTATTTAATTGCAACTTGATTCTGATTTTATACGAATGCTTTTCTGAATCACCCGTTCCCAAGGGGTTAAGAGACTGAGCATAGCTCAAAAGACGAGAAATAATGAACATAGGACTCCCAGTAATCCGTTAATTCATTCAAGTGGTATTATATTTCGTTAAAAAAAAATTTCTAGTAACCTTAGAACTGAGCTGTTCCTCTAAACCACTCAGCTAGGCTCAAAAAATTTATAAAGTTCATATTCATAATAGAAGTTTTGCCAAGTTCCCTCACTTGTCTTCTGGTGTTTTACAGAGAAATTATCTGAACATTCCAGATAATTCCAACTGAAATTTTAAATCTATTATTATCTCTCTTCATATGAAGCTACATTTTAAACAAATAGAAATTAGGCTTAAAGTATTTTATGATAAATGAAATATGACTTTTAAGACAGATTTAATAGTTTAAGGTCATGGAAATTTTTTTTATTTAAAAAAAATTAATTATTTAAAAACTAATTATTAAAAAACATTTTATGCATTTATTTACTGTTGTAATTTTTTTAAAGATAGAATATGTTTCACTAGAAATAAAAAATGAATTTATTTGGTGATTAAGAAATTTATTATGGCTTTAGATTTTTATTATTTTTTATCATTCCCATGTGCTTTTTTAAATTTTTTTTTATTTTATTTACATATCTTTATATTTGCCCTAACCAGTCATTTTAACCTTTTTTCTGGATTGGTTATTTAATCATGGAGTTTGCCCTTGCTAATAAAAATCATTAATAATGATAAAAATCATTAAACTTTAGCATAATTATTTCGATAAAAGAATATCAATTAAATAATCTCTAAACTAATTTTTAATAAAGAGTTCAGTCAATTTGTAGAATTTTTATTTTTTAAATACAGGTTAATAACCTTAGATTAAAAGTTAACTAGTGCTTTGAACCAAATAATAACAACATAGCATTTTTGTAAAATTTTAGTGATGGCTGCATAGATTTTATATTTATTGATTAATATTATAAATATTCACATCCTAAATAAAAATTAAGTTTTTATCTAAAATTAAGACAAAAAAAATATATTTTAAAATTAAATTACAAGCAGAGACAGAAATTTTTTTTTCTTTTCTGATTTTGCAAAATAGGAGTTCCTTTTTTATTGCTTCATAAATCCGGACGTTCAATGGAGTCAAAATTACTTTATTTAGAAATTTGAAAATTTTACAAGATCTGACAGTTAGCTTTAATAATTTTTCGTTTCTAATTTTTATCTGTATGCAGAGAATCCTTTAAAGAAATCCTAACCTCATTCTTTGCTTCTCAAATTACCAAATTTTCAGGACCCAATAAGTAATAAGTAAGAGAGATACATATGCATGGAAAACAATATTAATTTCTTAAATAGAGCTGAATAACAATAATTTCATTTATTTGCGTAGTTCATTTATTTATTCACTTACAAATTATCCAAATATTTTTTTCTTCGAATTTTTAGCTTCAAGGGAGCAATGGCAATTGTCATTCTTAATCTATTAAACATCATTGATTTATTTCAAATCAATTAATAAAAATGAATTCTGTTTATCATTCACTGTTTGAAAATAAAATCGTTAAAGTTTGAATTAAAAGTTTGCTCTCTCTCTCTGTTTGAAAGCCTCTGTTTGAATTAAAAGTTTGTATTGTTAATAAAACCTTTATTAACAATAAAGGTTTATTGTTATAAACCTTTATTACTTTTAAGTTTCTTCACCAAGGGAAAAAAAATGCTTTTGAAAAAA